ATCATTGCAAATTTTCGAGAAGTTTTTGAGAAAATTTTTTTTCTTTTTTCGACGGAATCCTAAAAATTCTTGCCGCTTCTTCGGTAAAAGTTTACCTATTACTTTAGTTTTGAGATAACTTATTTAGACCATTTTTAAGAAAAATGGCAATATCATTGCGATTTTGAGAAGTTTTTGAGAAGATACATCTAAAACTTTTTTCTTTTTTTCGACGGAATCCTAAAAATTCTTCAGCTTCTTCGGGATAACTTATTTAAACCATTTTTAAGAAAAATGGTAATAAAATATCCGCAGTGCTTTTGAATATCCGTGTGTAGAATCCGGTACGAAATTCCGACACAATAATCTCGACAATCGATTAACCCGACCAACATTCAGTGGGCGCTCGATACAATAACGTGATCGGGGGAAGAGATTTGGTGTTATTATATCGAGATGTTACTATATCGAAAAAATAAATACTGTAAAAGCTTATTACAGTAATGAGATCGGGGAAAGAGATTTTGTGTTAGTATAACGAGATGTTATCTTAAAGAGTGTTACTATAACGAGTGCTCCCTGTAATCCCAAACTCACAAAATCCCAAATACGGAATCCTGACGTTCAAAAATTAAATGCATGACATTAAAAGAAGTAAACCACCGGTACCAATACGCAATTTATGTACATAACATCAGTGTTTTTTTAAGCTGTAAATGTTGGGATTTTATATATCGGGAGTTTTGAATCGTCGGAATTTCGTTTGTCAGGTTCATCGATTGTGGGGAGTTGTATTGTTAGGATTTTGGACGACATTTGTGTATGCGTAGCTTGACATCGCATCACTGATAGACATACATGTATTTGAGATTCAAAATTCGCGCTTTATAAAGGCAATCCTGCTGAACCAAATTGGTCATTGCAATTTAACGAGGTGGATTTACTATCGCTATTTCTGTAGTTTATCGAGGTTTTAATTAGTGTTTCGGTTAAACGGGGGGGGGTTGACTATATATCTAGAAATCAGTAAAATACTCAATATACATATATTATGTGAAATACGGATTACCAACCAAGTCAACATCGTAAGAGTACGGCATTTTCGTTTGGAAATGCTTCCATGAACCACAGAACAGCACCAACCATTGAAAAAACATCGAAGAACGAAAGAACTTTACCAATAATACAGCTAACATCAGCTCGATCCAACTAAACCGCAAGCGATAACTCAGAGGAATCATAACTGACTACGAATTTAGAAACTTACGATGACTGGGAAACATCGACGAAAACTGCCAACGAGCAGAAAACACAAGCTACAAATCCACTACGATAGAAAATCTACTGCAAAGAACTTGCCTCACCAAAATCAAACTGGAAGAAGCCGTATCTGTCAACGAAGAATACTAGCACAAAATGTCAGCGAAAATGGCCAACTAATAGCAACAAACTGAATGAAAACGTCACCCGACCAAAACAACAGACAACAATAGTAAAGAGGACCGAAGTCTTCGCGCATACTCTGATTCGTAACGTTAGCATTAGATTATCATTACGTTATCGTTATTATTGATTGATCATAATGGAAATCAATCATGTTTACAAATAATACATGCATATTGTTACCGAAGCGTAACAAATTTTGTTGATCTCGTGATTTCCGAATAAGCCCATTCGTCCCGATCCCAACAAGTCATTTCGATTATCCGAGCTCCTTAGTGTAATGTCCCATCCTTCCTATTTTAAATCGACTCCTGTTTTCCTCTTCCCAAAAAAAAGTAATTCGTTTACGAAATTCGCTTTTCATCTACACGTTTTTCGCTTTTGATTGTTTCCCCTTTTTCACTTTCATCTACCTTTTTTTTTTAGTTTACGTTTTTCGCTTTCACATTTGATTGTCAGCTCATTTTTCGTTACTCGTTTTACATCTGTTTTTCGCTTTCGTTATCACCTGTTGTTCGTTATTGACTGATTTTTAGATCACCGTCTTCACGTTTTTCGCTTTCGACTTCGCCATCAATTTTCCATATTTACTCACGAATTCGTTTTCCGTTTCTCATTGTTCACTTCGCTTTCACTCCCACGCTTGATTATAATCATGATTTCGCTTTTGATTGATTTTACTTTATTTCCTTTTTCTTAAAAAATTCTCTCTCTTCAATAGTATACATAATAATGGAATACTCTTACTCTACGATGTAAAAACCAAAATGTATGAATAGTCCTCACGGACGTCAATAAAAATTCAGAAATTAATTGCGTACAATTCTTCTCCAAGTAACGTAACTCTTGTAAAACGAAATAATTGTGTACAATTCTTTCGCCCCGTAGTATAGCTTTGTTAAAAGATTGAAACGATTAACGGTTAGGTCCTTTGATCCAGACAAGGCATTGTTATTGATTAAACGGCATACTGATTGATAGTAAAACGCATTGTGTAGAATAGTTTGAGGCTTTTGTCTAGAAAAAGCAATTGTTATTGTTAAATATTGTTAAAAGACGTAAACGTCACTTAAAACTAAAGAAACCCGACTCTCCCAAATCCTCTTACCTAAACACAAATCCTCGTAAAACCCCTCTAATATTACCAAACCCGACGATATCCGTAGATATCGGCACAGGAATTAGATAACGAACGAGTACAAATCAGTCTATACACTTTCTCCCCCCTCAATTGTTGTAGGTAAAATCGTTGATTACGCCTAATTACGATCCACTTGCAACAACACTAAGGAGCTCGGATAATCGAAATGACTTGTTGGGATCGGGACGAACGGGCTCCTACGAACGGGCTCCTTCGGAAATCACGAGATCAACGAAATTTGTTACACTTCGGTAACAATAACCACCGAAATAACATCAATAATTGGACCATTCATTTTTTCTAAACACATTAGCGTTAGCGCTAGAGTGCGTTTGAACATCTATATTTTTGTTATTGTTATTAAAGTTCGAAAATCAATTTGCTAATTGGTTGTTATTTTGTTACTTTCAAATATAAGCACTTTAATATTAGCATAGCAATTTATTGAATGTATGAAAAAATATTTTCTAATTTAGGGTAATTATTGTTCGAAAATAAATAAAAGTGCTAACAATCTCGAATTTAAAAAATCGGTCTCTAACTTAATTTTAATAAAATCATCATACTATTATAGCTCTTTTTAGAATATCATAAAAAAGAAATATTGTCCAATCCATAGTGCGATGGAGAAATTGTTAGCGTTAGGAAAACAACAATATTTGATTCGTAATTGCAACTGGATATTTATCCGTTGGACTGGTACAATTTCCCGAACGTGTGTTCTATATCAGAGCGACATGTACGTAATTTTACGGATTTTTATATATTACTGTATTTTTTATGTTGATTTTTACGAAAAATACGTAACGTTCCTATTGCTATTACGTAGTTTGATATAGTGTGCGTAAAACATTGCATTTAAAATTTCTGATGCCGGTGACATGAAAGAGCAAAAATGTCATGAGACATGTAGAAATTCACACCTTCGCCGAAAATCAGAATAATCAGAATAGAAATTGTCACGTTTAATGTGAGTATAAAATTTTATTTGCGCGCAACAAAATTTGAGTAATTGTACATACAATACAATTAATTACATGTATATACAGTCAAAACTGGTTACGTACGTATACCGATTCTCTTATGACAAGTTTATCAATAACCGAAGTTATTTTGATGTCCCGATTTTTAATTACACCGAAGTAATTTATTATATGTAATATCGATATGTATTACCGTTACGAAAAAACAGATCATTTTAAATTTCTCGATCCTATCGCTATCGCTTTGTTTTTCGATAGATTTTAACCAAAAAAGTAAAAATTGATTTTGTAGAAATTTAACGATACGTATTTGTGAATACAGAGATTCACATTTTTATACGTAATAACCTCATTTTAGAAATGAATTTCTCTCAATACACCGGTGATGCGTTCTAACACCCTCTCTTAATGCGTGGAATGATTTGACTAAATCGCTAGATACGTATACGTAGATCATACGATTCTATATTCTTGAAGTAATTTTAAATTATCATTACCAGATCCGTTATTTTTTTTTGTATTATGATTTTGTCTCACATTGAATATAAAGTATTTTAAATTTATTTTGAAATCGAAGATCTATTTTTAAATGCCGCAGTAAACATTAACTTTAACGGGAACCATTCGGATTTGAGAATTTGTAACGTGTCGTCACCATTTCTAAAGAGGGCTTCCTGTGTGTTCTTTCATTTTCTATAAAAGCTCAGACTTTAACAATATCCTCAAAGAAGATTTTATATTATTGTATTTAAACCTTTTCCGAAAAATGAATTTCTTTTTATGGTTCAAGTTTTTAATATACACAATAACTTGGGTGTTGTATTTGATTTGTCCTGTCTTTCGTAACTTTCGACAAGTTTTTTTTAATAAAGATGTATAATTAATTATAATGAATATTTTTTTAGAACTTGCAAAAATGATCTTATTTAAACAAGTCCGATGGAGTTCTGCACATACAAAATATTGACGAGACGTAAGCAAGAATTAAAATATTGTTTATTTGTATTTTAAAATTGTTAGTATCTGATATGGTTGAAATCACATTTTTGTTAGATACATGGCACTAGCATCAGTCGTAATTATAGGTAAGTATAAGAAACTTTAAAAAATATTTAAAAATGCTACCATAATTTCTGTTTATTATTTTTAGTTCTAATATATTCAGTACTCTGTCCTCGAGTACTTGAAAACGGGTATGTTCTTTTTTATATTACTTAAACATTTGTTTATTACCGTTACGTTAACGTTAACTAATATCGATTTCATTTGTCAAATTATATGAAGATCCATCTTCGGCTGCACGTATCTTCTCTCTTGGATAATAATTCCATGTAAGAATATCACCCACACCGCTAACTTCCCAAAAAACCTCTCGTGCTACACATTTCAACATTCAATCTTATTGACTTTACGTAAATTAAAAAGGCATATACACTGCATATACGATTCATGAAATGGGCAACATCCCATTCACTTGTCCAGACTCCTATGAATACCCCTCTCCCTTACTTCGCACCACCTGTCAGATTCGTGCAGCCAACTTGATTTTCATGTGGGCATTTCCGATATTTTGTGTTTTTAGTGGAATTCTGATATCTATCGATGACGATGACGAGCAACATAAAAATAGAGAAAATAGATTTTCTTTCGGTATAGTGGAAGAAAGTGGCAGTAATATTCTTGAAGGAAATAAAGCATTAGCGTAGCGTTAGGGTTATAAATTGACCATCTGTAATGATAAGCAGACACTCAGAGTCGGTAATGATATTAAACAATCGACAGTTCAAAATTGGATAATTCAGAAACCGAACCAGATTATTTATTTCAAAACTGTTTGAACTAACAATAGAATGAGTTTAACCGATTGGTTGAGTTTTTATTACACTTATAAAGTGATTTTTTATAATTATCGTTGTTTAATAGTAAAAAAAAGTTGTATATCGTCCAGCTTGGCAATATATTTCATGGATACAAACAAAACTTTGTCTTTTAAATTATGTTGACAAGAATATAATCACAAATCAATCACAAAGATAAACATCTTCTAATAAACCGATTGAACTACGTATATAGCAAGAAAGGTATGAAAAATATTTATGCTTTAATACTTTACTTTTCCTGTGTATTATATGTAACAACAATTATTTTTGATCGTTGAAAATAATGATTTTATTGTATTTTGAAAGCTCCAAATCCACAATGCAAACTATCATTGTTGTCAAACAATCTCAACCATTGTTTGAATACACTAACAAGCTCAATAACAAAGTACATGTATATGTAGTACTTATTACTGATATCTGGAATGTATATACAAATCAAGTCTATGAATTTAAATTGGATTGATAATATGTAATATGTATATTGCTGAGTTTTAATTCTGTAATTTATCAATAGTGTTACCATAGTAACATAAATTTCTCTAATTCGATAATCTTTCTTTGATTATGCGAAATTCTCTTTTCTTAATTTTATAATTTATCACCTGATTATCATTATTTTTATTCAATCATATAATTATCTCACTTTATATTATAACCCTAAATCTTATATTTATTCCCTTTTTCTTATTTCTATATACTTTTATTACCCTAAATCTGAGATTTACAATTTTGATCACAAAT